GATAATTTAAACATAAAAATTAGAAATAATCTTCGTTATCATTATATCGAGGTTCGTTATATCGAGGTTATACTGTAGTTCTAACAATAGTACGGTAATTATGCGGCTTGGTGACGTTATCATTTTGTGAAGAACTAACATTAGGAATGGAATATATTGTTAAATTCAATATCACGGTTTGCTTTTCTTCACATTCCCATGGATTGACACCAATAATCGCACTTAATCTCAAATCTTTAATAAATATCAAATCTTGATGGCTATTAATATAATTAGGTTGTGTATTTAAATTTGAATCAACGTGATCATAGTCTTCTTTAGTACGTATTATTTCGACACCTGCGGAAGCAGCATGCAGCAAAGCGCGAGGCTTTTCCACACGGACGGTAACTCGAGGTGCATGACATTTGTTTACGCAAATTTTAGCTATTCCCTCCGCTAAAGCCTCGATAGAATCACAGATAGAATCTTCGGCAAATTTGGAGACAGCTTTGGAAACTGTTCCGTAATTAATGGAGTATGTAAGTTTATCTTTTTCTCCAGCTTTAGAAATGTTTTTATTAAGAATTAAGTTAATCAAAACTGGTTGACGGTTTACACGTTCCCAGGAGTCTACTCCTGTAACATTTCATACGAGAAGATTTTTTATAATAATCTTGTCATGGATTTCTTCTCCCATAATTTCTTTGATAATCAGTAATCTGCTCGTAGGAAGATTTTCAGTTGATTGGCTGATTTAAATCAATTTGCCTTGCACTTATCGTTATTTCTAGTAGGTTAGTGATGTCTAGGGATGTTAAAAACCGGTCCGGTCCGGTCCGACTCCATGAGTCGAGTTTTACAGCTGTTCTCCTAAATTTTGAGACATCTAGTAAAAAATTGACCGAACGATTGTTTGCCGATTCGATAAAATAACAACACCAGGGCGTAGGATCGATTTTCCGATCACATGACTTCCCGACGTAAATTAACCAATCAAAAATCAGGATTAGACTAGTAAATCGATCTTTTGACTAACAAAAAAATTTTCTCGTACAATTTTACTTATTAAAGCTCTTTTTAATCGTAAATAATACCTAAATCAAAATATAACCCAATTTTTTTGTTCGAAGACCATTGACATCGGATAATCATGTGATCGGAAAATCGATCCTACGCCTGTCAATTTCGGGAATTGTTATTAATAATGTTGATCACCAATAAAAATTGATGATCAGGTGTAACGTGATGGTCCAAAACAATTTAAATTGGCGTTGTTTATGTATTTTGTTTTTTTTATCTTCACGCTTAGTTTGCTTCTTCTTCGCTCTATGCTATACTCTATGACGTCCAGCTTTTTTACATCTCCCCTGTGTCGAGATCTACTGGTTCTGTATGAGGAGCCGGTTACGTTTTTTTTCTTGACTTAAGCAGTTAAAAAATCTGGGCAGAGAGGTTTTTGTTAGCAAACTAAGTAAAAGCTTCATCGAAGAACAACCTGCTCTTGACGGGAGGCGCAGGAGAGAATATGGTTGGGGTACAATACAGGTGCTAGGCGGCATTTAATTTTTTTTTTAAAAAAAGAATAAAACTACACACTGAAAAACATTTGGTGGAATCCAACGCCAAACCACCTCTATTGTTACCTTCCCAACCAATGAGATACACCTCTTCGCGGTGGTTGGGACAAGTAAG